TCGTCGGCCTTATGGCCCTTGTTGGCGCCAGCCACCTCCAAGACTCGACCGCCGGTTCGCGCCGTGCGGAACCGGAGGCCCTCGATGCCCAGGTCCACAGACTTCTCGGTCCTGTCCATGACGGCCTCGTAGGTCGTCATGGACCCCTCTGGCAGCGTAACGACGACTGCGGCCGATTTCGGGGCACGCAGTCGCCGTCGGGGGGCCCTCTTCCTCTTCTTCTTGGAGGCGGCAGGCGCCGCGGGGGCAGGGGCCGTCGGCTTTGGGGCCTTAGCCTTGCGCGCCACCACACTCCAGCCCTCATCAGGTTGGGAGGTGGGAGGCGCCGGCTGTGGCTTGCGTGCGGCCTCGGCCTCAAGGGCCTCCAGGCTCTTCTTGCCCTTCCCCTTCCCCTTTTTCGCTGCCGCGGCGTACGTCGCAGCGGGAGCAGGGGTCGGGGCGGGCATCGGCTGTACGGCAGGGGCAGGTGCAACGCACTCCGTTTCGAGCTGGGCGTCGGGCGCTCTTGCGGCGCGGGCGGCGTTGCGCACGTCCGCCGCCGGCGGAGGGCGCAGCCTTAGCTCGGGCAGCAGGCGGTCACCGATGCCCGCGATCCGGGAGTCGACCATGAACATGATCTCCTCCCGAGTCATCTGCGGGGGGGCAGCCGCCTGCCGCTTCACCGCCTCCAGCTCCGCCCTCATCACGGCCAGCTCGGCCTACAGGTGGACGACCTCTTGCGTCTCGGTGCGGGCTCGGAGTGCCCGCACCGCATCGCCGATGGCCGACATCGCCTCGCGGACTCTGGCCACGAGCTGGCACTTCATCTTGGCCGATTTCTTGGCGACGCTGGCAATAACGTCCAGCGCCGCCTCGACCGTGCCAGCGAGGTCCTCGGCGGAGCGCTCACCGGATGCCGCTTCTCCGGGACCCTCGAGCATCGCCGCCTGGGCCCGGGTATGCAGCACCCGGCTTCTCTCCGCGGCCCCATGCCGCCAGCTCCGCCTCCGCCTGTAGCTCGAGCTCGCGCTCCCGCTGGGCGTTTAATTCCGCCTTAGCCCTCGCGAGGCCGGTGTACTCACCCGTGGTCATGGGGCGTCCGCGTCCCCTCTTTCGCGGCGCCTGTTTTGGCGTAAGCGATCGCTTACGCCAAAACCTGCTGGGTAGGGAGCGCGACCTAAAGCGCATGCCCCCGTCTCCGCTCACCTCTAGAGAGGTGCAGCTGCCACTGTCCCACTCCGGGCCTGGCAGCTGCCTCTCCAGAACCATGGGTGAGTCGCACCGAGAGAGTGAAACTCGCAACTCCCGGCTGGCCACACCCGAGGCCCTGCTCCCTCCTTGGACTACTGCCTCATCGATATGCTGATTAGTTGTCCTTTCGCCGTTGCCATGGTCATTTTGTTGTGTATTTGTGTTTTCCATAGTAGATCCCACGAGTATGGGGGAAGTGGTGGTTCCAGCCGGCAGAGCCCCCTGTGCCGACCTAAACGTACATACTGTGGAGGTCCGCCGGTATCCACAGGTTGTAACGACTTCGCTGTCGGGTTTTTATTGACTGATCCTTGTCTTGGGCCGGCAAATTAAGGCAAGCCCCCTGTCCCGGTCGCAACGACGCTAGACGTGACAACGACACGCTACGACCGAGACAGGTTCCCCGACGTTGTCCCGAGGGACATTCCCCTGAGTGCGGGTTAGCGCACCCAAGGGAATCGCCGCGCCGCGGAATACTTCCGCCAGACCTGCGTCCGAAAACCGCTGTCCAACAGGACCGACACCAGGGAGGTATCCACTCCCCTGCCGACTTAGCCGGCGACGACGCCGGTCTGCACCAGCTCACAAATCGACTCTGAAAACAGAGCCAGACTGTGTACTGGGCAGAACCGGCAACCCGCGTGGTGCTCAAAGAGCTCCACGCCGCGGACCTTGAAGGTCCGCCATACCACGACCCCTCACACTGGTCAGCTGGCCGGATATTGGTCAGCGACAGATGACTTCCCTTCCTCCGTAGAGAAAAAGGAACACATCTGCCGCCGTCCAGGGTGCACCAGGTCAACCGCTTCCATTCCCCCGGGACTTGTCCCAATCCAAGCGGCGACTCATCGTGGAGGTTTCCGGCCCTCGCACCCCTAGATAGCAAGATTGCTATTCTAATCGATGTGCCAACTTGAGCGTTGGCTACTATACAGACCATAGACAAGTAGGGTTGCCACATATGGCAATTAAAGTAAAAAAATTAAGAATATTTTTAAGGCGACTTTTGGACAACCTTTTATTGTGTTATTTTCATTGTATCTAGACATAACTCAGCTTCGTCAAGAGATATCAGGTTTGGAAGAGTTGAGTCGTCAGCTGTTCCTGGAGGCGCACGACGCGCGCACGATGCGCGAGAAGATCGAGTGGTCCAATACATTTCAGGGGAAGTACTTTAACTTCCTAGGATATTTCTTCTCCCTATATTGTGTCTGGAAGATATTTATTGTGAGTTTTTTTTTACATTTTTTCAGCTAATTTTTGTTTAATTTAAACTTTGTTAAGGACCTTTGGGACATTTTTCATAAACTAATCATGTTTTTATAATGCTTATTTTAAATTTGATTTCTTGTTAAAATGTACTATAAATTTGCGCATTGCTTTATTGAAAGTAGTATAATATTTTTTGATGCGCGCATATTCTATTTTTGCGCCGAACTAATCATTTTTAATTTAATTACTGTCTCACTCAAAGACGGTTAATGGTAACCCTTAGTGTAGAATCTATTTAAATGAGTAAGTTTTGTTGGTGTCAGTCAACAATCAACATAGTGTTCGACCGCGTGGGCAAGAAGGACCCGGTGACGCGCGGGCTGGAGCTGCTGGTGCACTGGCTGGGGCTGCGTCTTGACGTCGCCTTCTGGTCCCAGCACGTCTCCTTCCTGCTCGTTGGCTGCATCGTCCTCACCAGCATCAGGGGCCTGCTGCTTACGCTCACTAAGGTGAGGACATATTTTTGACAGTATGACGTCATAGCCTTTAAATAAAAAATTCGGTGAAATTACGAAGTAGGTTTTTAAAGTATTTTTTTTAAATTTTAAAACATAATTTTTAAACTTTTTTGTACCTTTTTGTGTTTTATTGTCTGTACTTTTTTATTGATATTTGACAGATCGAGGTTATTGAACCGCATATTCTTAGTTCAATTCCAAAATCAAAAAAACGTATGCTTCAAAGTCGGTTTTAAGTATAGTTTAAATATTATTAGTGAACTAGGTGCGCCCGCGACTCTGTCTGTATGTTTTCTTCCAGACTACATTGTATACTTGTGCCAAATTTTATCGAGATTCGTGCAGCTGTTCCGAAGATACCTTTAAATAAATATCCATCTATACAACCATCTAAACATTTGCATTTATAATATTAAAAAAAAAAAATAATATTCTTTTCAGTTCTTCTACAAAATATCGTCATCAAAATCATCAAATATAATAGTTCTAATACTGGCACAGATAATGGGTATGTATTTTTGTTCGTCTGTTTTATTAATGAGAATGAATATGCCTCCTGAATACAGAATAATAATAACACAAGTCCTCGGAGATTTACAATTTAATTTCTACCACAGATGGTTTGATGTTATATTTCTTGTGAGTGCATTAACTAGCATTTTTACTCTGTACCTTGCCCATAAACAACCGTCTGTCAGCTAGGGGTGTGACGTGACGTTGTCAACGTCACACCTTGACAGTGTAGACTGTCAGTGAAAGTTATAAATAAGGAAATTGTGTTTATCTGTGATGTGTCGTGGAAACTAAAGTGGAAAAGTAAAGTTAAAATGCAACGAAGATTGAATGGAAGATAAGAAAAGAAGACTTTTTGTTTTATGTAAAAAATAATTATTTTAAAGCTTTTACTATGTCTCTTTTTATTATTTTATATGTATAATACTTGTAGACAAGATTTCAACGATTTGTTTATTTTTAAATTCAGAATAATTAACAATTTTATAAAATAAATTGTGATGGCTCACATCAATGTCAATGTCAAAAAGTGTCACAAGATCCTTGTTGTATCTGACATGTGATTTTTTCTTTTGTTTTTTTTGTGTCCAAGTAGGTTTTATATATTTTGAAGAACCGCTGATAACTATGCATTTGTCGGGGCCAGTGGGATTAGGCAAAGTGCATTCGCTTCTAAATCACAGCGAACTTCAAAAATGTATAGAACTGACAGTAACTTTCGATAAGTCAAGTGATTGTCGCGCCTCAGTTCTATACATTTCTGAAGTTCGATATGGAATCGCTTCGAAGCGAATATACTTTGTCTAACCCCGCAGATATCCTTGTTATTAATTAGCTATCTTGTAAATAAGCTGTCGCTCTACATTCGCTGCGAAGCGATTCTATAACAAATTTTAAAAATGTATAAGAACTGAGGCGCGACAATCACGTGACTTATCGAAAGATACTGGTCAGTTCTATACATTTCTGAAGTTCGATATGGAATCGCTTCGAAGCGAATATACTTTGTCTAACCCCGCAGATATCCTTGTTATTAATTAGCTATCTTGTAAATAAGCTGTCGCTCTACATTCGCTGCGAAGCGATTCTATAACAAATTTTAAAAATGTATAAGAACTGAGGCGCGACAATCACGTGACTTATCGAAAGATACTGGTCAGTTCTATACATTTGTGAAGTACGTTATAGAATCGCTTCGAAGCGAATGCACTTTGCATAATCCCGCTGTATCTTTCGAATTATTAAGTTCTGAAAAGGTTTAAAAAAAAACTTGTAATCATTTAATTGAAAAAATTTATTTAATTAACAAATTTTATTTATCGTTTACAAACTATTGAAAGAAAGTTAAGATGTAAAAATGTACTGGAAAGGCCACCTTAAAATAATTTTACTCTAACAATAAAATATTATTTATTAAAAGAATTTGAACATGAATTTTGCAAACAATTTAGTAAAATGTATATTCATATTTTATTTTTTTAATTAGTTTGAAAATATCAACATGAAATATAGATTTTAAAACTTTCCCGCTAATTTTTTTGTAATTGATATATGAAAATATGACTTAATTTCTTAACAATAAGGTTAATATTTCTTTAGTAACGATTGACTTGTGTTTTCTTTTGAGCAATGCAACAAATAAAAGCATTTGAACAACAATATTACAGATTGTAAATTTACAATGGTAACGATTTCTTAAACAATAAAACACGGGCCTTTAAATTTTTTTTATTTTAAAATTTCACGAAACAACTAAACTCGTTTTTTCAGTATAATTTGTGATTTTAAAAATTAATCCGAGTTTATTTGCTCGTGAAATTCCACTGCCGATACTTCATTTTGATAATATTCCTAAAGGCTTGTTCATCTTTTATTTTAAACCTTCCTTGGTCTACTCTCCCATAACATCTTCATACTGTTTCCTGAAGCAGTCACCGACAGGGAAGAAGTCCCAGCATCTCTGTGTGTACATGTTCCATACATACGTCTCTTGACCTAAGCAAAAATATAAAAAAAATAGGTAAATTAATTGATGAAAATATCGTAATGGCCGCCATGTGTGGAAGGCGACGTGCCTTTGCTTACTTACGCATGATTTACAATAATGCCAGTGCAGTAATATGCTTGCGAAATAGTCCATCCCAGGTCCAGTATTACTGTCCCTACTGTACTGGAATAATGTAAACCAGGCATAACTGTAGCATTTAGAGTCGTCATTTGGTCTCCAAGGGTCTCCACTTAGTCACTAAGGGTCTCCCAAAAGGGGTTTTTTTTTGGTGCGGCGCTACGCCGCCCTCTCGTTCCCCTAACATGGCGATCAGGGACTTTGGGATGCAAGAGTCTTTATTACTTTATTAAAAAATTTAAAAAACCAATTAATTACAAAGTTTCTTAAAACTATTTACAACTGCTTTTTTTTTTTTTAAATAATATACAAAATACAACTTAAATAAAATTACAATTAAAATACCTATTATGCAAATTACAATTTCGAATTAAATTACAATAAAATCCAATCTAAATTACAAATTAAAATTCAAATTATAATACAAATAAGATCTAAGCTAAATATAATATGTACAAGTTAAATAACAATATACAAATAAAATTTTCAAATTAAAATTCAAATAAAATTTTAGATTAAATACGAGTAAAACTTTAGTAAAATGAATAACGTACAAATTAAAATTTTAAAACAAATAAATAATAAAACAAATAAAATTAAAACATTTATCACAGCTCAGACCTTATTTCTATTTATCACTACTTTGGCCAAGGATCGGCAGTACTCTACGAAGTGTCCACGTGTCTTTTTGTTACTTATCAAATTGTTCAAATTTTTCTCCTCCACTTTCTCTTTCAATTTAATTTCAATTTTAGCTCTTTTCGCTGCGAACACCGGACACTCCGTGAGCACGTGCAGCACGGATTCACCCCGTGCTGGATCACACACGCAAGAGGGGTTCTCCTTGCACTTGAATTTGTACAAGTATTCTGAGAACCCCCCGTGACCAGTTAAAACTTGAACCAGCACGGGGTCCAACTCAAGGCTCCGGATTGTAGGGTAGGCTGCTACGGCGTCGGGGAAGAAGAGCTTCGTCGTTGAGGCCGTGACTCCTTCCATATAACGCCTGTTCCATTTGTCAAGCGCATCCAGACGAATCTGTCGTTTGACAAATGAAACAGGGAAGGGTCTCCGCTTAGTCACTTAGGGTCTCCGCTTAGTCATTAAGGGTCTCCGCTTAGTCCCTAAGGGTCTCCGCTTAGTCACTTAGGGTCTCCGCTTAGTCATTAAGGGTCTCCGCTTAGTCCCTAAGGGTCTCCGCTTAGTCACTAAGGGTCACCACTTAGTCACTAAGGGTCTCCGCTTAGTCACTAAGGGTCTCCACTTGGTCACTAAGGGTCTCCACTTGGTCACTAAGGGTCTCCACTTGGTCGCTAAGGGTCTCCAGTTAGTCACTAAGGGTCTCCACTTAGTCACTAAGGGTCTCCAGTTAGTCACTAAGGGTCTCTACTTACCCGTGTACTCAGTGTCGGGCTTGTTGATGAGATGCATGACAAAGAACATGTAGTTTGCCAGATTGTGCTCGCGCTGCACGTGCGTGTCGAACCCGTGCGGCACCTGCACTCACAAATTATATTAAACTTCTACTTACATGTGTGAAAAAAAATTAGCCTATGTTTCTTTCAGACTATGTTCTACATCTATAATAAATCTCATCCAGATCCATGCAGATATTTTCTTTCTGTGCATCCTCTCCTCCGTCGATTAAAGGTAGGCAACGCATATGCAATTGCGTATGTCTATGGGCAACGGTCACTTCACTATTTCAGCGATTTCAAGTAGCCGCTCGCTCGTTTGCCACCTTATGATATAAAAAATGCAGCCGTTCTTTAGTCTAAGATTTATAACATAAGTAAGAAGTAAGTTACCTTATCAAAGTAATCCTTGTTGATGCCGCATATAAAGCAGTTGGACTCCATGTCCTCCTTCACAGACTCCAGCTGGTCACGCAACTCTCCGAATGCGTCAATAATCAAACCTGCAAGTACAGACATAAAAGGTACAGTCAGCGTCATATAGATCGTAACAGACAAGATATGCAAATATATAGGTACATCAAAAGTAATCAATTATATCGGTACAACAAAAGTCCTCAAAATAATAGATACATTCACCCTGCTCAAATACATCGGTACATACACAGCGTCAAATATATGAGTACATGCAAGATGCTCATAAATATCGTAGCAGCCACAGCGTCATAAGTAACGAAGCAGTCAAGGTGCGCAAAAATATCGGTACATTTGACAAAATTGAACTCTATCTGTATATACTTGGGATACAATTTGGAATAAACTACTTCTGTTACATTCATTTGACACTTTGCATCAAACCATTTTTCAAAATTTACTAAAAGTGTTCGACGCGGATGACAGATATCAGGTAGATAAAACCAACAACATCTCGGTTTTATTATTAGGCAATGTAAGAATTTTGAAAATGCGCTGGTAATAAAAGTTTTATATAACGCATTAGTTAGGAGTCGTCTAGAAACGAGTAGTTCCATTTGGAGTCCCCATGAAAAAAAATATAGTCTGATGGTAGAAAGAATTCAAAATAAGTTTACGCGGTTCCTGTATTACAAACAGTACGGAGTTTATCCTTGCTTCCCGTTAATGTACCCGAGTTTATTTGTGAATGGCATGGTCGGATACAGCACGTTGCGAGTGCGTAGGGACGTGGCCCTCGTGCGCGGCGTATGGCGCGTCCTGCGCGGCGCGGTGTGCCAGCCAGCCGTGCTTGCAGCGCTGCGGCTGCGTGTCCCTGACTGCGTGGTTCAGGTGCGCCGCCGCCCGCCATTGTTTCTCGAGCCCACCGCTAGGACGAAGTTATTGGAAAATGCTTCTATAGTGCGGGCTATACGGCTTCTCAATATCATATCTAGAGATATAGATTTATTTAGTTGCAGCGAGTCGAAATTCACAGAGGCTGCGTACAGATGTGTGGAAGACGTTTGAATATTGATGTTTAGTTACGCGTTTATATATTCTTGCACTGTATTATATGTATTTTTTTTTTCCTTTTTATTTATCATTGTTATATGTTATTTACTGTTATTATAAAATATGTTATCGTGTAAACTGTTATGTAAAGTGTGTATAGTGTCAAATTGGTTGTATACTGTAATGATGCTATGCAGTTTTTAAATAAATAAATAAAAAATAAAATAAACATCAAATTTAAGTTTGTCATCATATATGCTAGTTTGGTCTCGTGGCCTTACCGTTCGCCGCCGTTGGTATGTAAGGTCGGCGGTTCAAATCCCAAGCCACTATTTTTTATTGATATTTAAACTTTTTAATTTTAATATCGAAGCACATGTAATTAAACTCTATCGCCGTAGTTATTAGGTACTTTTTGATATTACCTTGGACTAATGAGTTTGACCGTTAAAGTACTTTTCTATTTCAAACAAAAATGAAGGAGATAAAGCGATGCTATTGGCATGTAATTTGTTTATTACTCATGTTTGTTAAACTTGTACCGGTAAAAATATCACGTTACCTTTTACTGATACTGATTATATTTAAGAAACAAAGAAAAAAAACTGAATGTCAATATCCAAACTACATCAAATTTTTGGTCGATTGCAATAAACATTCCAGTGTGCGTGGGCGCGCACACATATGTAGATAACACTTGAACGTATAGTTTCCGCGCGTACCATTCATAAAACCCGCAATGACAATCCACGCTCCGCCCACTCACTTCACCCGCGATGGTCTGACCTAATTGTTGTTAACTTTATTTAAATTTCTTTCTACCCGACATCATCAACCTGCCCTTATCCCTATCGAGGGTCGGCACAGCATGTACTACTCCTCCATACATCTCTATCAGCCGTCATATCCGAGTCTACCCCCTTCTTCCGCATATCCTCTTTCACACAGTCATTCCATACTTTTTTTGGTCTGATTCTACCCTTGTAGCCATCCACATTCAATCTCATTACTTTTTTGCTTATATCATCATCATCCCTCCTCATAACATGTCCAAACCACGCTAATCTTTTACTCCTCAATTTCTCGATCACTGGCGCTACTTTCAAACTTCCTCTAATATACACATTTTTAACTTTATCCATCCTTGTCACACCACACATCCATCTTAGCATACGCATTTCAGCTACATGCAATCTTCTTTCATCCGAAACCTTGGTGGCCCAACATTCAGATCCGTACAATACGACAGGTCTTACGATGGACTTGTAGATCTGTCCCTTAAGTAAATTTCTTTCTACCCGACAGCGAAAATTATAAAAAAAAATTGTCGAGCAAAATTTTACATTACCAAATTTTTACTGGTTATGAAAAAATAACCCCGTGATTGATAAAATGAAAAAAAGTAGCCTGAGATTCGAACCGGTAAACTTACATATTACGGCAAACATACTAGAATACTGCGCCAAACTAGTATTATATATATATTGTGACAAGGCAAAATTTGATATTAGTTAATACGTATCTGTCATATTCGGCGTGACAAACTTTTATATTTAAGCGTTATGACAGGAGAAGAAAAATATTGGGTTGCCCAGTAAGTTCGTGCCGCTTTATAAGGAAAATTGAAACCCTGTTCTCTTAAATTTTTGGAAATGTTTTTAAATTATATTGGTACGACTCTATACCTAAAACGCCTTTTATTATTGGATAAAATTTTATAAATTAGTTTTTATCTCAACCAATGAAATGAAATTATTCACAATATAGAAATTTTTGCGACGTTTGATAATGGTGGAAATCCGAAAATGAATCCACTTCAGCTACAGTATATTGTAAGCTTCCTATCGAAAATCAGAACGAACTTTCCGGACAACCTATAATGTTAATACAAAGTGTCAAATGAATGTAACAGAAGTAGTTTATTCCAAATTGTATCACAAGTATATAGAGATAGAGTTCGATTTTGTCAAATGTACCGATATTTTTGCGCACCTTGACTGCTTCGTTACTTATGACGCTATGGCTGCTACGATATTTATGAGCATCTTGCATGTACTCATATAAAGAAAAGGATGGAGGTATTAAGGGAGAAGGAAGGAGGAGAAGGAGAGTATATATATATATATAAGGGAAAAAGACGTCTCTCTTTGCAACCTTTCTTTGGTTATAGGAAACGTATCTTTAATTGCTGCAGCAACTTCGCTATTATTGCGAATTCAGATGGCCGCTTGGTCATTTGCCTCCTTATGCTATAAATCTAAGACCTGTCCTATCAGCAGAATTCCAACAGAGGGTACTGACCCTGAAGAATGGCCAGCAGAATGACAATGATGAAAAAGAAGAATGAGATATCGAAGATGATGCGGTAGACTTCTCCGTCGTCGCCGTCGGGAGGCTCGAGCTCGTCACCGATGCCGCCGCCAGCGCGCACACCCTTGTACAGGTTGAACACGAAGCACTGCAACACCACAGACAGACAGTCAGATTATATACGTCAAATCTGGATAATCGAGAAACTTCGAGAAGGAAAAACCATCCAGACCCAACGAACGATTTCCACAAGCGAGAAACTCGGTAAAGAGAGAAGTTTTGTTAGAGAAAAGTAATTTACAAGTGATCTATATTACGATAATATAATATGACTCCGTCCGCGCGAAATAAAAAAAAACATAATTAGTAGCCTATATGTTCTTCCAGACTATGTTCTATATGTATTTCATCAATACATTGAGCCATTCCGGAGATAGTTTCTAACATCCATCCATCTAAACATTTTTAATATTAGTAAGATAAAGAAGAAAGATTTGATTTTTTATTTATTTCCATTGAATAGGCTTCCTGTGAGGATTTAAACTATTGAAGTATTACTAACGGTGAGCATATCATGGCAGTTCCTGTTGACCTCGTCGTCCTCCTCCTGCACGTAGAACTTGCGGAAGAAGTTGAAGGCGATCACAGTGTAGATGTACACGATTATCGTCAGCAGCATCACTGTCAGCACCAACTGCAACAATATACCAACATCATCAACATGACCTTATTCCTACAGAGGGTCGGCATATGTACTCCTCCATACATCTCTATCACCTGTCATATCTGAATCTACTCCCTTCTTACGCATATCTTTCACACAATCCATCCATACTTTCTTTGGTCTTTCTCTACCTTTGTATCCATCCACATTCAATAAATTACTTTTTTATATGTAATTATATCTTTCTCAATTTCTTTATCAAAAATGCAAAAATACACCAACATTAATAAGATTAATTATGTTCCACGTCACCTAATCTTAGTTCCCTTGCCTTCCTAATCTTTTCTTATAAGAAAAGAATGGGGAAATGCACTTGACGGAGGCGAGGCGTAGAAAAGGGGAATATCTCTTTAACTTGATCTCTTCCTGATTGAAAGTAATCGACGCATCTACAATTATGTCTTATTTATTCGATTACGATTATTCCTAGAATACAAACCAATGTAAAATAATTTCTGGAACACCTCACCTGCTTTCCATTATGCGTGACGGACTGCAAGATGGTCCTCAATGTCTTAAAGCCGACAGCAACATCCAGCAGATGTGCGGCGAAGAAGAAGTTGTTGAAGTTGCCCATGACGGAGAAGCTGAAATACCACAGCGAGTAGAGGAAGGAATTGTCGGTGATGGTGACACCCGCCTTCCACACCTGGTAGCGCCAGTCGATGTTAATTATGCTGAAAAATAATATCAATTTAATTAAATGCAAAAAAATTAGTCGATTAAAAAGAAGTTAGTCGACTAAAAAGAAGTTAGTCGACTAGAAAGAAGTTAGTCGACTAAAAAGAAGTTAGTCGACTAGAAAGAAGTTAGTCGACTAAAAAGAAGTTAGTCGACTAAAAAGAAGTTAGTCGACTAGAAAGAAGTTAGTGATCTAAAAAGAAGTTAGTCGACTAAAAAAAGTTAGTCGACTAGAAAGAAGTTAGTCGTGCTTTCTGATGTTAGTTGATTTGAAAGAAATGAAATCGTAAATAGAACTACTATTTACGATTTCATTTCTTGTTCTTCTCGTGTTGTGATTATTGAATAAGATGAATTCTAATTTTATGAGGGCACTTTAGTTAATCAACCTTAAGATAAAAATATAACAAGAGCTTTGCTGTACGTACTAGTGCAGGAAGCCCTTGCTGCCTTCATCCTCTTGCGCGGAGAAGGAGGTCTTCTCCATGCCCAACATATTGGAGATGGAGTCGAAGTCATACGTCTCAGAATACTTGGCGCGTACTTTCTTCTTCACGAACTTGTCCCAGTAGTTCACTGGGAACGATCTGAAACACGTTTTTTTAAAGGAAATAACATAAAATATAGCTCGGGTCAATTTTTGATTTATTTGAATATATAAAATATGATTTTTCATTGGATACAAATGAGTTAAATTAATCAAGGGTTCTTAAAGTAGGAACTGCTTCGCTTCAACTGCCTATCATTCATGGCGACCACAACTATGGATACCTTTCCCTTCCTTGAAAATGGATTTGACAGAGGAGAGGATGCATTTGCAATTGCGAATATCCATGGGCAGCTGTCGCTTAGCTTGGCCGCTTGCTAGTTTGCCTTACGATATAAATTATAAATCGTTGTATATGGTTTAAGGTTTTGATTGGATTTCCGTATAGCGTAGATATTAGTTACGTACTTAGCAGATATAACGAGCTTGTCCCAGTGACTCTTGAGGTCGTCATCATCCGGCTGCTCGGCGATGTACAATCCGTCAAACTCCAGCTTGCGAGCTATCTCCTTCTCACGTTTGAAGATCGCTAGAGGCACCTTAAGAACAAGATATATATTTTTTTAGTAAAATATTACTTCTTCTACCATTTCAATTAAGCTCTATACTTGTGTTAACACAAGGTTTATGACAATAGTCGAATGGCAGGATTCGAACCCCCGACCTAGTGATCGGAAAGCCGTATCCTTAAGCATTAGGTTATTGACGCTTCGAATATTATTACACTGTTTAAAAAAAACAACACTTTAACAACTATCTAAAAACATTGTTATCTCTATTTTTTCCATGAGAATGAGGGAGATGACATAATTTTCTTTGGTACGTACCTTGAGATGGTAGTACCCGATGAGTATGGCGAGCGAGACGACGGAGTGCAGCACCGCGGCCACCTTCAGCAAGTGCTCCATGTAGAAGAAGTCTTCATCAATGTGCACCACTTCCAGAGGGTCGTCGTCTTCACCTGACTCGCCGCTGCCTGCACACCGATATAATATGAGAAAAAAATCGAATTGAAAAAAAATACCTTTTTTTTATATGATAAGTTGAGTTGGCAAACGAGCGAGCGGCCACCTGTAATCGCTGAAATAGCGAAGTGACCGTTGCCCATAGACATACACAATCGCATATGCGTTGCCTACCTTTAATCGACGGAGGAGAGGATGCAAAGAAAGAAAATATCTTCCCTTTCCTTACATCCTCTCATCCGGAAAGTCCACTTCCACTTCCCATCCTTTCCTTATAAAGAAAAGGATGGCAAGGGAAAGAGGACTAAATTAGGCCTCCGGGACGCACACTCATCAGACTGTACTTGGAATTGCTTCCACTTGACGCCTGTCTTCTGTGTGGTCGTGGTATTTCACCGGGCGAGCCGGGCCGATTCGTGCGAAAATGTTAAAGCGGGTAAAAACTTCATTGCTGTATTGAAAGCCAATTTAATATATGATAGTTCATACCATCTCCGCTGCCGGCGCCGGAGCCGGAGCCCGAGCCCGCAATGATGCTGCCCAGACCGGAGCCCTCACCGCCCTCGCCCTCCAGCGTCGACACCTGCAAATAATAGAGAATAACACTTCAAATACAACGACAAACATTTTTTTTATATTTATGTTGGCAACATTGAAAATATGTTTTTGAAATTCATTGGTTTAAGTTTTTCTTCATGAATGTTACTTTAAAAATTGCTTCCATTTCAACCAACTAAATACTATTAAAACAGCAATTAAGAAAAGAAAGCTTGAAAGTTTAAAAGTTGGTCTTGACAGACAGACGGAGGAACAACAAAGTGATCCTATAAGGGTTCCATTTTTTTCTTATGAGGTACGGAACCCTAAAATTGAGCCAAATAAATTAAAAACATAAAATCATCAAGTTTATTTGAACACAATTAGAGACTGACCTTATAAAACAAGAGCACGAAGTTGATGCAGAAGGCGAGGACGAGCGCGACGTACTTGAGGTTGTAGAAGTTGCGCGCGAGGAAGGAGACAGCGCGCCGCGTGTACTGAGACAGGTCCACTTGCGACAGAGCTGACGGCGCAGGTCCTTGCACCGCCTGCAGTGACATTAAAACTCTGTTTACACTGACTTACTAGCCGCACAACCACGCACCAGTGGAAAAGAGGTCTACCGCAGACATTTAATAAGATGTTTAACAGTATTTGTTGATTTATGATAAGATCTACTCCTACCTAAAAAAAGATGATGATATAGAATCTTATTTTGATTATAACCGTGGGTTTCTGAGACCAAATCCTGAATAATATTTTGTCAATGACAAGGATGACGATATTTTTTTTACAGATTTTGGGCTCAGAAACCCACGTAAGTGAAATGAGTAAACGATGAGTGGTTTATTGGAAATTTAAATTTAATAATTGAAATTCGAATTTGGAAATTGTTTACCTTTTTTCCGAAATACTTTCTTCCCTTTCCATGACAGCATTACGATATTATTATTTTTAAATTATAATGGATATTGCGATGGTATAGATAAAAATTCTAACTCAATAGTATATATCTGAAAGTAAGATTGTACCTTTTTGCTCTCTGCTTCAATGGCGGACATGGCGGCTTGTTGCGCGGCCTGCGCCTCCATACGTTCTTGTGCCTGTTTCTTTGCTTGCTCGCCACTGAAAAATATTTATTTAAGATATCAAATTAATTACATAGTAAGAAACATTATACATTTAAACTATCATTAGAGTGATTAAAATGAAACTAAAAATTTTACATCTTAATCTTATGAAAAACAAGATTTTCAGTCAAATTTTAAAAAGATTTTATGGGTTTTCGCTCTCTGGCTTTTGCGCCATAATTTAAATAAAGTTTTTTTTCTAAAACTGTAACTAAAGTGTTATAACTGTACATATAAGTTTTTAATGTTAACCCTTTTCGTGCCGAGAGTAATAAATGATGAAGGCGTCCTGTCTTGTCTTGTACCATATTGTCGTCTCGCACATTCACTTTGATAAAACAGAGACAGAGATATGTGTCAATGCTGTAATGTAACCCTATACGTACCCAAGCAGGTCGATGAGAGAAGGTGGTTGTTGCTCCTCCGTATGCTCTGTGCTCTCATCAGGTGATACCTCGGCCTCTTCACCAGATGATGGTGTTGAAGTGGAAGGTGATTCGTGCGGCTTCACTTGGATCCTAATAAATAAATAGTAGAATATTTATCCTCTAAATTTAATAGCAAATGGTTCTGTTCTGTAATTTCTTTGTAAAAAAATTTAAAAAAGTTAATAAATACTACCAACTCAAGAAAATGGTTGGCAATCAGCTCACTGTGTGTCCCCAACTGAGGGGCTTGGAGCCTACCCTAAGTTAGGGGTAACTAGATCATAGTCAGCCGCGCTACTAACGCTAACCCAGTGCGGGTTGACTTTAAATTTCTTCGAGATATGTGAGATTGCATCACAATGCTTTCCTTCACCGTAAGAACGTCGGATAAATGTACATATGTAAATGGATAAACACATTGGTGCATGGCGGGATTCGAACCCAGGACCTGCAGATTGGAAGTCAAGTGAGCCACCGACGCTCCTAGTTAATAGAGAATTATCACTACTACTTTGCCTTATGTTTGAATGGCCATGCGTTCCATGTCCAATTTCTGTTTTGGAAATAGCAGATTTTTGTAAATTTACTAATATTTCTTGTAACATTCCAATTAAGCTGTAAGCTTGTGCTAGGATATGGTTTACGACTATGACGAATGGCGGGATTCGAACCCATGACCTCGTGATCGGAAATCCGCACCCTTAACCATTAGGCTATTGACGCTTTTTATTACTTGAGTTTTTTTTTTACAGATATGTTAAAATTGTAGGTATAATATTATCTATGCTACATACTGTCCGTTATCTTCTTTAGTGATGTCCAGTCCGAAAGCGGAGACCTGCATCTGACCAGTGTCATCTGCAGGCGGTAGTGCTGGCAGATGTCGAGATGGACCTGGTTTGGATTAGAGGTCAATTATAATTAAATCTGTTGATTATTTTGACAGCAGATTAAGAAAACGAAGTATCAGATGACAAAAATCTCACAAGGAATGTCACGACCTTGAACTATGTGTGCTTTAATTATTGTACAAAAGCACAATTGTGTTGTCGTCACATTCAAGTGTCATGTTTTTGTGAAAATAATTATTTACATATAAAACTAGCTGTCGTCCGTGACTACGTACGCGGGGAACTAAACAAAAACCTAATTAGTAGCCTATGAGTTCTTCCAGATTATGTTTCTACATATATGCTAAATTTCAGCTGGATCCGTTCAGCCGTTCTGGATATACCTTCAAACAAACATCCATCTAAACATAAGCATTTATCTTACTAATATTGTAAATGTGAATGTTTAGATCAGTAGTTCCCAAACTTATTTTGTCTACTGCCCACTTTGAGAATAAATATTTTTTTAGCGCCCCCATATTTTCACATATTTAAAAACCACTATAACTTCAAATTAAATTAATTAATTATTGTGACCTATATATGTATATTAACGGAGAATTCTAAAGGAAACTTTTACTATAACCCGCAACTTGAGACCTGCAGCGCCCACAAGGGGGCGTTGTCGCCCACTTTGGGAAAGACTGGTTTAGATGGATGGATGGATATTTGTTTGAAGGTTACTTCATAACGGTTGAACGGATCTCGCTGAAATGTTGCATACATATAGAACATAGTCTGGAAGAACATATATGCAACTAGGTTTTTTTTAATTCCGCGCGGACGGAGTCACGGTCGACAGCTAGTAACATTATAAAATTAAAAAACTAATCACAATAGCAAAATTAGACGGAAATTTAATTATTTATTTGTGTAAATGTTAAGTGTAAGCGATAACCACAAAAAATACTTTAGTCTGACAAAACACATAAAATTAGTTAATTTTAATTCTGTGTTTAATTACTATCTGTTTTATACAAAGCTATAATTATTAAAACTTTATAACTTAATAAATTAATTTATATCATCAGCTCACTATTCGTCTCCACTGAGGGGCTTGCAGCCTACCCTAAGTGATTAGACGAGTCAACCACGCCGACAGTGTGGCGACTGCACACATCTTTGAATTACTTTACAGCTATGTGCAGCATCACAATGTCTTCCTTCACCGTAACAACGGATAAATGTACAGATGTGAATCGAACATATTGGTACATGACTGGATTCTAACTCAGGACCTGCAGATTACTGCTGGAACCTCTGAGCCATCAAGGCTCGTAAATTCTATTCTTGTAATTCTTCGTTAATAGTACTTATTTTAAGACGTAATAAAATCAAGTAATTTAAAAATAAAAGTTACAATCTTTTACATTTAAAGATAAAAGTTTTGTTCAATATTACCAATATAAAGTAGATAATTTTTTATATTTATAAAAACGTAATATTTTTAACAGTTATTTTGTTCCGTTATTAAAAGCGTTTCACCGTGGGTTTCTGAGACTAAAATCTCTTTATAAAACATATCGTCATCCCTGTTCTTATCTTTGATATACAGAGATAACAATATGTTTAAAACGGGGATTTTGGTCTCGGAAACCTACGATTAATGTAGCAATATTAACGACCACTGGTTCAGGCGAAGCTTAAAATGTGTGTAGTGTTGTGCCTTACTTTGTTGTTGGCTCAGAAATCTGTGCCTTAACTGACCAATTTTTTCCTCCTCGGTGGGCTCGGGTGGTGGTTCCTCTGTTTGTGGACCTCGCATTAAGCCCAACAGTACTCCGAATATGTACCTAAAGAAATATATTTAACTTAGCTCTTTTTACTTTGAAATTTAAAAAAAAAAATTATTTAATCTAGTTTATATCTAGTTTTTAGGTTATATAATTGATATAGATGTGTTTGGAAGCGAAAAGCGATAAAATATAATAAAAAGTTGCTGAAAGTGGTAATAGAGAACTTGACTTATTTTTTTAATTTTATAAAATAACAGAAAATTATAATTTAAATTGCAGCAAAATAAAAAAAAAACTAATTTTTTAAGCCAATAAGCAAAAAATTTACATCAAAATTTGCATAAAGTTAACATAAAGAATTTACCAATGGCTGCATCAAAAGTTGCGTGAAATGAAAACACCCGATACATTTACAAACGATTGTGAACTCTATTCAATTGCAATAAGATCGAAACTCACCTGACAACAACAAGGACGCCGTAGCCCAAGTAATAAAAGAGATAGAAGAACATCTTAAAGAAGCCGAGCGCTAGTTCCGCGGGCGGCATTTGCTGCAGATCCGCGATTTTCGACTTTATGTTAGATGGTGATAAGGAGGAAAATGCTGCAGAGATGCCATCCTTGACAGATTGGAAGCCACGACGGAATGGATCTTTACCCGCTCTGAAATAACAGAATATTTGATAAGCACAATATTACTAATATAATTAAAAACGTGAAATTTGGATGTATGGATAGATGGATGGAAGGTAACAGAACAACGGATCTTGATGGAATTTGGCACAGATGTAGAACATAGCCTGGAAGTTTTTTATAACTTCACGCGGATGGAGTCGCAGGCGACAGCTAAAATAAATGATGAAAATACCTTTCATCATCATCATCTCCCATGTACATGTAGGCAGCCTCTCTGTTCTTAGGCCCTCCGGAGCTCTCCTCCGAGGCGGCCATGAGACCTGACGCATGCGTCATCTCAAAGATGGCGTCCTCACAGAAGTTGACAAAAGCTTCCAGTTTCTCCTTGTCACCACCCTCTGTTACTATACTGTAGAAGAAAGCACGCTTCGATTCCTGGAAGAGCAAATATATGAAATTTTAGACGAACCAAGATAAAATTACAAGAAATTTGATGAAATTTAGTGATTTTTAGGTAATCAAGTGACATTAGCTTGGATGAGAGACCTTACTTTAAGATTAACAAGCGTCTATTGAGTATCAAGGTTGATCTACAACTTTAGCAGTCCATATAATACCGGTGACAGTAATGATGATGATGAGATGATGATAACATACTTTGATCTGTGGCTTCTCCCACTGCTCGATGTTGGACTCCTTGATCTCGAAGTAGACGCGCTCGATGCGCTTGGAGCCGCCCATGATCTCAATGCGCCCTAAGAATGGCTCGAAGTAATTCAGTACTGAACCAGCCGTCTCCAGGAAACGAGCCAATCTGTAACAATGAACAGCTTTTTTAGCAGAGTTTTAGCAGAAAAATTTACTGACGATATTCAAAATCTTTAAACGATTGCTATTGTGGGTATTGAAGTTGAATTCTGGACCCAGTTAATCAAACACAATTCTTACTAATATTATAAACGCGAATGTTTAGATGGATGAATGTTTGTTTGAAGGTCTCCTTGAAATTTGGCATAGATGTAGAACATAGTTTGGAAAAACACAGGCTACTAATTAAGTATTTTTTAATGCCGCGCGGACGGAGTCGCGGGCGCTAGCTAGATGTACAAACTGTAAGAAAATCCGACACTGTGCCAGTCTACTGGCGCAACACTAGCCTTATTAAAATGTCGACGTTTATGTCCCCTTATTATTCTGACACTTGACTTTGTAATTAATTTTAATAATGTCTAAAAATACAAAGTAAAATAATTTCTGAATCAAGGATTTTAAGATAGGAAATCCCAAGGATGGAATATAGATTTTTGTCTTTACCTGGGCTCATTGGGCATGTGTTCAGATAGGTTGGTGAGCAATACGGCGAGGTTGAAGCCGATCTCTTTAGCTGGCTCGTGGAAGCGGTCGCAGAAGCCGATGTAGTCAAGTTTACCGTCGTGGTTTGTCTCGCAGCAAGCCAACAGGAATTCTATCTCCTCACTATATGAAAATATATACGTTGAAATGTATTCGCGGTACAAAAGAGGGATTTGTGACTAAAATAGTAATTTTTGTAAAAAAATTACTTAAAACACTTTTTTTCCTTTCCGGTAATAAACAAGTTAACAATTCTTCACACATTAAATATATCAGCTTCGTAATAACATTTCGTTTTTATGATTACTCTTACAGGACAAGAAGCCCCATTGGCTCACGATATTTAGGATACATCACAGTACCTTAAATTAACTTTGCACTACAAAAAAAGCTCAAAACAGTATGAGAAGAATCATTACTCTCCGATCCTGACGATCGAAAAATAAATAATGAAACTTACGGCGTGTAACTCTTCTGCTGTTCCATCTTCTCTTTGAAGTCCTTGGGCAGCACCCAGCCGTCGTTGTTAGCGTCGATTTCCTGGAAGCTGGGGCTGGAGGTCAGGTCCTTCATCTTCAGGAACATGTCAAAGTACTTCAAGATCAGTTCCACGTTAGACGCCGACTCTACCAGCGTGTCCACCATTTGTTTACCAATTGTACCTGGAATATTTTTATGTTTGGTTTGAATTAAACAAAATATAATATTACGACCCTTTAAGGGCCCTATTGAATTCGTGTAAATTTGGAAAAAAAATTGTAAATTTTGACCCTATAAATATATATATATAGCATATGGGCAAAAATTGTATAAGTAATAATGTCAGACTTACCATTAACAACATTTCCTTCAAGCATAGACAGCATCATGGTGATCATGTCTTTCTGCAGGTTAAGGAGTTCCTTGAGCAGGTCGACTTGCGAAGAATGCTTCGACAGCTTGTCCTGCATGTGAGAGAACAGGAACAGGAAACCTCCCACAGCATCCCACAGCCTGACAAATAGATATAATTATTATTATTAACTCATATACATCCCCACGGAAGGGCCTTACTTAGTGACTACGCCGCAGTCATCCATTTTATTTCATTCATTACTTTTTCAAAGAGAATAAAAGAAATCATGCAATATTTGTATGCAAGTGTATTGCTTTTTTTAAATCTATTATACCTAGAATGCGCCAAGGCCTGTTGGTTCTGCGTGCAGGGTCCCTGTATGACTTCAGTGAGAGTGTTGAACACTTGTGATGCTACGCCGATAGCTTTGAAGAAGTTCGCCTTGCCAGCGGGGTCGATTAGTTCCTGTTATATTGGAAAATAACGTTATTACATCGCATAAGCAATTAAGTGCATGTTAGTTAACCACAAAAGTATTACTGTAGTGAATTTTTTAGCTAAGAAGCTAAAAAATAACTATTTTTTTTATTTATTTGTAAGTCTCACTTCGAGATAAGCTGAGGTAAAGTTTCAGCTAATAGTTAGATTAGTGGAAAAGCGGACTAACTATCGCACTCAGGTATCAGGTATCTTTAGTACGTTACATGTATATGTAACGTATTAAAGCTACGTTAAGGTACTTTTTAGTGACAATTATATGACTAAGTACGGCAGTTTTAGGTGGCAAGCATAGCAGTGGTAGTGACCTTGCTGGAGTAGTGCCAGTAGAAGTCCATGATGGACTCTTGCAGACGCAGCAGGTAGTCGACCGTGCAGATCACCACATTCACCGTCGTCGTGTTGCCCGCTTGTGTACGCAGATAGTTCTGCCACTCTACAATATACAAAATTATCTTTAAAGTTATAAAAAACCAAAAAGCTCCAGTGACTATACTCTTACAAAACTCCGGGGAATATCAAAATAAGTTTTCAAATAAGCTTGGTTGACGCCAATTAAATCATCAGAATGCTTTTGTTACTTAGAAATGAAAGCTGTAGGTACCGACTAGTTTTGGGTCCTCCAGGGCCCTTACTTAGTGTAAAAGGGGCACCGATTAGTATGCGGTCGCAGCGCCCCCCGTATCAAGTGCGATTTAAGTCGGTATTTATTTAGTTTATTAATAAATGTACTGACCCAGGTTGTGCCCCTCGCATGTAAGCTGGATGAAGCGGAAGAGCGCGCACGTGAACTCCGCGTCGTGCATGTTTTTTTCGCCCGCAGCGCCCTCTAGTCCCACGCCCAGACCTAAAACACGGTTTATCATACTTTTTACCATATCGCATGAATTTGTAAACGCAAAAGTGATGCAAAAAATGATTATTTTAGTCACTAAACATATTTAGTAATATTACTTTGAATGTTTTGTTATATTGAGATGTTATTGATTTTTACCTTCAGCTTTTGTATTTCTTTCGAAAGCGTCCAGATCCAGTACAGAGCAGGAGTTCATAAGGCCAGCTATAGACGTGAAGAATCCGACGTCTTTCTTATCCTTCAGATGGTTCAACATACCCTGAACACAAAGATTCAACATAAGATTTTTTTTAATTATTGAAATTTAAAATAAAAGAAAGAAACTGTATGCAGTTCTTTAAAATTCTTTGGACAAAGTGATTTAAGGCCGATGTATCTCTTTTTAACGTACTTTAATATATAGGAGGTTCTCAATTCTTCTGTTATATTTACTTACCATTTGTATATCAATATTGCCTCCCCTAAGTATAGAGATGCCGAGCTGCAAAGTCTTCATGACCATGTCGCTAGGCACGCCTTTGGAGGCAGATATATGCAGTAACACCATCTCAGCCACACCTCGGTCTGCCAGACGTGCTTGGTGGAATAACAGCTTTTGTTTCTCCATTTCTTGCTCCTGGTTAATGGAGTGGGTATAGTGAGTGAGTTGCTTTTTTACATAACGATTTTGGAGGCGATATGTTTAATGTCTGTTTATTTTGCTAAGTATTAAACTATGAGTACATACCATAAACATTTCCATTGTTTTCTGCATGTAATTTAATAATTTGTTAATGAAATTTTAATTTATTTAATTAACTTCTATCTGAATATTTAAACTAATAAAAACAATTAATAATGCATTATGAAATTTTATTCTCAATACAGACGAAAATTGTCAATTTTAAGTATTCTCCTCGTACTTGCTGAAGTTACAAAGGTATAAAAAATACTCACGTGTATACTCGCTCCTCCTTCCTCCTCGCCCTCCGCTTCTCCTCCTGCCTCCTCCTCCTCGCCACCGCCCTCCTCCTCCTCTTCACCGCATGACTTGGCGATTATATGCGCGTACGACATGTATAGCGGATCCTCCTGAAAAGTAAATATAACAAATATATAAGCATTTTTATAGTTCTTTTCAAATATCTTGCCGCCTCATTGTGCACACCTAACATTGTGTTCAGCGCAATTTGCGCCAAGTTACGAGCCCCCTACATATCTAAAAACTACTATATCTCGTTCCAATACCAATGCCTATCATACCAAAAACTGCAAGAACTCGTAAATTTTAAATATTTCTGGTCAAACACTTTTCCTCCAATAACATTAGCTACCCTTATTTTACTTCTATTTGTTCGAAACCATTGCATAGTTGTAAGCTTATTGCGCAGGTACCTGTAGCGCGCCCGAACGCTCGGTCATGGCGCCGCGGCAGAAGGTGGTCACCAGCTGAGTGAGAGGGTCCGGCTTGCCCTCCTCTTCCACTACATCACTCTTCTTCAGTTCCGCCTCTTCGAACGATTGCTGGAAAACACGCAATAAATTTCATCAGTTAGGTAATGAAAACACTTCAATATAACAACTAGAAAAAGTCCTTGTATCAAAAGAGATTCCAACTATTAAACCTATTTGTGATTATGTTTTTATATTCTTCACTACTAATCTTTTTAAAATTATGAAATATAGCTTAATAACACAAATGAATACAATAAAAAAATATTAGAAGGGCCCTTCAAGAGCGAAGTGAATAGGCACTTAACTAGTGCGTATCTTTCAACTACATTACTTAACAAATATTAAAAAAAAACTCTAGTACAAAAGTTTTACTTTGAGTTTTTTTAATATATCCTTTATCACTTTATCAATAAATATGTTGGCTTTTATTTAATTTACTGCTTGTATAAAAGTATAAATGATTACCGTGAGATCTTCAATCATGACCTCTTGCCCGGTGTTTTCCTCTTCCAGCCACAGCTCGTAGTACGTCCTTGCGAATATATTGCAAGCACGGTGTCTGTACAATATAAACAATTATTAGAATGCGTATTAAAGGTTTACAAGGCTTAGCAAAGGGCCCTCTTAAAGTGTATTATGATATTCAATTTTTATCTCGGCTCGTGATTACAAACACATATTTCCTAACGCATTTTTATCAATTAAACTAAAATTGTATTCTGAATTACAAGAGCCGGTCTTCAATATATTGGGCGCCCGGCTATATATTCATACATTAATTGGCTAGCGTCCTAAGAACCAGGCGCCCAGGCGCCCAATACACTTAGCACTCCCGTGTTAAGTCGGGGTGTAGATTTTCGGGATATATTCCATGCCATCCGTAAGTCACAGTATGGCTATGTGGCTGATCTACGATGTCCTTATTAGATTTTATTTTCTAATTAAGATGTATACAAACCGGCTAAGTTTGTAGAGATGTATGGATCTAAGACAGGCGACGGCAGCGCGCTTCCTGGCCGCACACAGCACACGCTGCCACGTGTCCGAGCGCTGCTTAGGTTTGGTCGCCTGTACACACCGTGCATCAACACATGCTTGTTAGTATGCAGAACACAGTTAAAGGTATGCTACAACTCAATGAGACTGTTTAGTATTATGTATGCTTTTGTACAATTGAAGAACAAGGGATTGCTTATTGTTATAAATAAAACATGGAGTTTTAGTTATGTTTGTTGCAGAATTAACGTTACTATTAGTTTCTGAAACTGCTATATAGAGTTTAAAATATGTTTAATATTTGAAGAATACAAACTTATATAGATTTTAGCAAATTATTAGTTGTTCTTGCACAATTAAAACAAATATTTATAGATACGTTAGTTGTTTCTTTACAATATCAAGCATATTAATTAAAATGCAAATTATAAACACAATAAAAACAAATAGAAAAAACAAAATAAAGTAAAGTATAATAAGCACCTTGGCAATGAATGTAGAGATGTTTGCCTGAAGCAAGCTATGACAGCTCTCTTGCGTTGTATGGATACTACAGAACGATATACATTCTTACTCATTTGTTGGGGATGATCGATCTGATGGAGTTAAAAAAATATATATTAAATACGCAAAGTATACAAAAGTAAATAAAATAACTCATGCATTTAAGGACTTGGTAAAAATTATAAGGTGAAAAAGTACAAAAAAAGATACAAAAATAATTTTCAATAGTTTAAATCAAAAAGAAAAAAATAAGTCAAAAAGAACAAATCGATATGCTATTTTATATTAGACTTTACGCCTTAGGATTTAAAGTTGTAATTCGAGTACTTACCATATGTAAGCCAAAGAGTACTTTACTCATAGCAACAATCCGCTCTACTGTATCGTCTATGATCTTTGCCTTGTTTTCTGCAGTCTCTACTGTTATTGTGGTCTTGCTTTTGGAGCCCAGTTTACTATATAAGTAATGTTGCCATGACATCTCGTCAGCCGGGTCTATCTTATCTGGCAATGTTAATTGAGTTTTCGCAAATTCAGCCACATCTTGTTCTGACATTTTCTGAAAAATACATTAAATATAATTAAAAAAAAGTTAACTGTGTTTTATTTGTACTTTTTAAATCGAAAATATTTAACAGCTGTAGAGTTTGAGGCCAACAATCTGCCAACTAACCCGAACTAGGCCAGCGTGATTGTCTATGGTTCCCCTATGGAGCCCCTCTGAGGGTATGTATAAACGCTAATAACGACCAAGTGGGATTGCAAGCCGCTTCATATCCCACAAGGTAGATGAAATAAGACGACCACACAGAATCACATAAGTAAATTACCGATAGATAATGCATCTACTATTGCTTCACCATTTCGAAGAATTCAGGTGACCAGACACGTTCCAGAAGACACGCGGGAAGTGAAAGTAATTACGCTTTTAGTCTGATGACAGTGTAATAGAGAGCAGTTCTAGCCTTCGCTTGCTCAGTCTTTTAAAAGAGATGGTTACCTTGAGGAACCTGTCCTTGCAGTGCTGCACAAGTTCCTGCTCCCTGCCCGCGAAGAGGTTGAGGCCAACAGGCAGTAGTCGTTTGAGGCACGCCACCATCAGTGATGCCTGCACCTCCTTGTCTTTGTCACGTTTCTTGTCGCGGTGTTTCTTCTTCTTCTGCACAGTCAGAGATTTAAATTAGCTACCTACTTACGATCGAATGTCCTACTGCAAGTATACATCGCAGGGCAAATTGTAGTCTTCTTCTTTTTCCCGCCATTTTCTTAAGAAGTAGGAAGGTAAAGTGGATTCTGCATGGGAGGGAAGTCGTCTAAGAATGAGAATCATTTTCTTTCTATCCGTACCTTTCCATTTAAGGTAGGTATTGCATCTTTATATTGTTGGAAATGTCTATAGGCAACGGTCACTTAGCTATTTGAGTGAAATCAGGTGGCCGCATGGTTATTTGCGACCTTTTTAGTATAAAAAATATTTGTAAGAAATATTTTTACTTACTCTACTGCTTGAAAACAAGATCTTTTATCAGGTTTTAAGACGAAAATTCCTAAACAAAACATGAAATATAAACAAATTACAAAGAAGAAGAGACATTACCTTTCCACCACCTTGAGGTGTTCCATCCACGATGGTGGTAACACGCCTTGTAGCTGTAGGCATTATGAGCACCTGTGGTCCAACACGAAAATGCACTCTAAGAAATACAGAATAAAGTACAAAACACAACGACCCATACTTAGGGTAGAGTACATCATGCTGTGAGTTTACATTTTGAAGATTTACATATAATTTGTGCGAAAAGATTTTGTGCTATAGAGAGATACTTTCGTTATTTTGGCTGATAGCTAAATATTATATTTAAATTTAATTTTTATAGCTAAAGACAAAAAGATATAAATATAATATTTACACTAAAAAGTGAACTCAAAGATATTTATAGAATTATTGAATTAAAGAGGAATGATTGTAACTTTATATATTCGTAACAAGAAACTCGAAAACTACTAAACTGATTTTATAAAATCTTATATTACTTAAATACTACTAATAGCCTAATGGTTAAGGGTACGGATCTCCGATCACGAGGTCGGGGGTTCGAATCCCGCCATTCGACTATTGTCGGAAACCTTATCTTAACACAAGCATAGAGCTTAATTGGAATGGTTAAAGAAATATTAGTAAATCTACAAAAAAAAATTGCTAATATTTAAAAAAAAATTGTTTTAAAAATGTCTACCGGTGCAATGATGCGACGGGACGAATAAGCTTTAAAATATATGTTAACAGATATTATCAGCCCAAAATAACAAAAATATAAAACCACACATTCATAAAGTAACCGAATATTCATAGTAAATATGAAATCTTTAACAAATATGTTGTTATACAAAGAAATAATGAAGAATAAGTGATGGCTTACCATATTGTCGATTTCATTCGCAGATATAAAGTTTTGTTCTTCCTTCAAGAAGTATTGACTCTTTGACCAGATGTTGAATATCTCTGCTACGTGATTGTAAAGTTCTTCTGCCTCTGTACAATTGTAAACACAATTTTAAATATGTTGAACAAGTACAGTCAGGTAAGCCTACACTGCTGTAAGCTGTACAGTGATATATTGTCATCTCTGTTTTATCAAAGTGAACGAGCGAGACATAATGTGTCAATATGGGCCGTTGTTATAAGAATTACAAATAGATTAACTGAACTTTTTGTATTAGTTACAGTCAAAGTTTTATAACTAAAATAAATCTTTTCATTATAATTTTACCTGGTACATTGTTCCTGAGCCAGTGATTTCTTTGCAGATCAACATATTTGATGAGTAGTGGATAGAATGAGTAGATGTCTCGCACCAGTAGCTGCCAGTCCTCTTGTATCTGGGACTCTACTTGTGATGTATCGTCCGTAGAAGACTGATTAAAAAGAGGAAGATAAATAAGACAGTGTTTACTATTGCAATTTTTCACTTAAAATATGACATAGGATTTATCGTTTTCTTTATTGTTGAAATTTTTGTTTGCTGACTTACGATGTCGACTAATCTGTAGGTAATCAATAATAAAAGCTACAATTGTTTGAATGTTTCATAAGCATTAAGACGACGACGTGTTTAATGTGTCTGTACGAAAAAAGATTCTGTAAGTAAAACACCACGAAGTGCCCTGACTGTACTTAAAATAAAGTTACCTTTATGAATCCTCTCAAACTCTCTTCTTTATGGAACATGGTGTCGGTTCGTTTCCTGACTCTCTCCGCCAGAGGGAGGAAGGAGTCTCGCAGCAACTCCTCAGAGCTGTTGATGATGATTTGCTGCGTGTATGTAGCGATGCGAGTCATCCACGGAGCACTCTCATTGCCTATGTTCTTCTTTATCAGTTTCAATACGTTCTTCAGAAGTTGATTCATATGTTCTGCTGTTACCATCGTTACGTGGTTGCTGGAATTAAATCATATTTTACGGTAAATTAAATCTCAATTAAAAAAACATCGAGAAGAGGAGAAGATAAGAAATTTCCATATGAAAACAGTATCCCTTTATTTATTTGTTTTGTTAAACTAATTCATGTTGGGCAGTTATTCCAAAAGCGGCTCAGATGGACTCCTTTGGGTACAAAGAAGACCCACGGGAAAAATCCTCAACTTGGTTTTTAAATTGCAAGGTAAATATAGCTAAAAGTGGTTTATCGAAAGCAGAAACAGTTTGGGAGTCTGCTATAGAGGTTTGTAGTTAAAATCCTTTGGCGCGAATTGTGCGCTTTTATTCAAGTCAAATCAGATCGATTAGTAAGGGGACATGAACGTTGATTTTTTAATAGGTCTAGGGTTGCGCCAGTACACCGGCACACTGTCGGATTTTTCTAACATAATTTAAATAATGTCATCTTACCCGCCAGTAGGTGTGACATTATCAGGTCCCTGTGCCCACCAGAATGGCAAATAGGAGCACAAGAGTGGTAACACAACGTCTATGATGTGTGGAGCCTCATTGTACGTTTTGTCTGATTCAACGAACTGATCGACTTCATTCAGTATTGTCTCCAATGTAGGCATAGATTGTTCCATCTTAGCCATTATATCTGTAATTATATCATACTAATATTATAAATGCTAATGTTTGGACGGATAGATGCATGTTTCTTTGAAGATATCTTCAGAACAGAACGATTGAACGGTGAAATTTGTCATAGATATAGAACATAGTCTGGAAGAACACATAGGCTACTAATAGAGTTTTATTAAATACACCGCGGATGCAACCGCGGGCGACAGCCAGTTAGCTAATTAGTTGGTTAATTATCTTACGATATAAATACACAAAAGTTAAAGGTTAGGTATCATGTTTTATACTTATTGCAATTATGTACTTACTAAAAACATCTTTATAGCATTTACTTAATCATTTTATACTTATTTTACAGTTATCGGGGCAATAAGAGAGTAAAGGCGATAGTAATAAAAATCTTTATAATTAGCCTAACGTAATATACGCTAAAATTTATCCACACCTTGAGCTTCCAATGAGTGATCAGCAATACGATTGAGTAGGGAGAACTGATTGTGCTTGTTGAGATGCGGCTCCAGGAACGCCACCGGGAACGTAGAGCTGAACGCGCCCAAACAAGATCCCTAGAAAATTTGTACAATACAGCAAAAGTACATAGTGGAATATTATTCAAGTACATAGGGAAATACAGGTAGAATACTAAGCTTAACTTTGTAGATTTCGATTGTTTTATATAAAGTGTTCAAAGAGTTTTTACACTTTAGCTGCCATTAAATCTAAGAAAAAAGAATAAATTTAAACTTTTGAATTTAGTTATGTCAGATCAGTTTTCTATGTCTTTTTGTTATTCATGTTCTACAATATTAACACATTTTTCTGCAAACAAAAGTTTTTTTATTTAAATCCCTGTACAGAAAGAGAGGGACAAAGTAAGATAGAGAGAGATAGTTGTTAACTGACCAGTGCAGGTTTATTCCTTTCTATTTCCGTCTTCAAATATTTCCTGTCGTGCGTGAGGGTTGCGTCTGTGCCAAGCGTATACAAAGAACCTAGCATCTTGTAAGATGCTACTTGGATCTCGTCCACTGAAAGAAAAGAAAGATTGTTGTTAACAATAATATAATTTATAATTGATTTTTGAATAAATAATTATTACTTATGTTTTCAATTGCCTTATGCAGATTTTTTGTTGGTTGCTTTTTGAATGAGAATAGACCTCGTAGTTTCTAAATTAACCGTTTTTTTATTAATTTTGATGTGTAGTTTTGTTTAGTTATAAATATTGATTTTATTCAATTGATTGAACATAAAAAAGCTAGCCAAATAAAATAAGTTGCTTTGCTATGTGAATTTAATGTTTCTTGCACTAAGTAATAAAATAAATATAATTTCGTAAATCAAATTTATTTTATTATTATGTACTTTGAATGTAATAAACATTGAAACTATGTATGTGCAATATAATATTAGAAAATAGTGAAAATGAAAAATGTGGTTGTTCGGTTTACTTCATATGTTTATAATTTTTGAATGCAGAGTTGGTTAATTTCTTTATTCATTTTTATATTTATAATACGTAAGCGAAAATGGACTCACATCTAAACGTACAGAGTACATTCAATTCGAGATATTTACAGATTTATTGAAAAAAATAATTAAAAAAAGTAAATTTATCGAACAAGTTGAATCGTTAAACTTATAAGTTCTTTTACTTCTAGGCAAGAGAAGACGAATTAATTTCTGTAGACGATGTGCTATCTAGATTTATAAAGAATGTGACTAGAATGAACCTGGACTTGTTACATTCCATTAGTAAGTATTAAGATAAAAAAAAATAATAAAATATTGTTAAATAAATTGAATATGGACGGCTACAAGGGTAGAGAACGACCAAAGAAAGAATGGATTGTACGAGAGACTAGCTGTCGCCCGCTCTCGTTTGCGCGGAAATAAAAAAATAATTAGTAGCCAACGTTTTCTTCTAGACTATGTTCTACATCTATGCCAAATTTCAACGAGAGCCATGCAGCCTTTCCGCAGATATCACCTAACAAACATCCATCCATTTCTCTTGACTTTCGCATTTATAATATTAGTAAGAAGTAGGGATAAGTACGTACTGTGTCAACCCTATTTATAAGAAACGGAAGGAAGATGGTGACTTTTTAAAGAAATTAGTACATATTAAGAAATATAAATTCGAAGTTGATATCTTTGTAACCTTTTCAGGAGATGCTCACAAAACTATAGGTCATATGGAAACAGATGAAATAGTAGCATTGGATTCGGAACGAAATAAAATTGGGAATGATTTACAAAAGCTTGACAAAAATCTCCATTCTTTAGGCAACGATGAACCCAGTGGATCTATTGAAGAAATCAATTTAAATCCAAAAACAAAATTAAACCCACTTGATACTTTAGAAAATACATTCCAACTTTACAAACGTTCAGTACCAGATATGTATTTTAATAAAGCAATACAAAAACATAAGAATAAAGTTAAAACAAAACCAGTAAATAACATTTGGAAAACATTACTTATAAAATTAAATTCATTAATACAGAATTATGATGAAGACGTATCTTTTAAAAACTCTAAAGAAGATACCAAACCATTGATAATAGTTTTAGCGAATCCTGACAAGGTAACATTTTGAATTTTTTTTTTATATCAAAAGGTGGCAAACAAGCGAGCGGCCACCTGAAATCGCTGAAATAGCGAAGTGACCGTTGCCATAGACATACGCAATTGCATATGTGTTGCCTACTTTTAAACGATGCACAGAAATAAAATATCTTACCTTTCCATGCATCTTTTAATCCGGAAAGTCCACTTCCACTTCCCATCCTTTCCTTATAAAGAAAAGGGTGGGAAGGGAAAGAGGACTAAATTAGGCCTCCGGGATATATATATATAAGAATAGATTTCTTTATTCTCTGCTATCTCTGTTATTTAAATAACAACATAAAACAATCAAGAAAAATGTGCTAGAAAATCAATTCGTTACATAAATCCATTACTTACAAATTTCTTTACTGACTGTGGAGACTGAGTATTAAGACTGAGTATTACTAAGTATTACGTTCTTATCCTCTTTGTGTGATTGTTAACAGCACTTTACTGATTTATATCTCTTTTAGAGGGAAAGTTATGAAATTGATAGATCGAATATAAAAGAAATTGAAACTAATGAACTAATCAAAGCATTTCTTAGAGACGGCTGTGTTACTTGTGTTAAGGCTCAAGTGAAGAGATGTTATAAGGTAAATATAAAGCTTTATAAAGGCTGTACACGGACAACCATAAGCAGATGTGCGTCCTAAATCATATTTCAATACGTGTTCCTTGCTACGTGTCTGCAAGTCTATGAAATCGTAAGACTAAAATAGATACAAAAAAAGTCCACAAGCGAGAAACCTTTATAAGCGAGAGTCATTATTTGGCACCGACGGACAACATCCATAAGCGAGAAACTCGGGTCAGAGAGAAACCTCTTTAAGCAAGAAAATATCTCGCATTTTGACTGTATTTCAAATAAAATTTTAATACTTAATTAAGATTAAGATAATGCAATATAATAATACGAATAGACGTAATAATTATAATCCTACAGGCATTAAAAGATTGTACAAAAGCAACGTGTGCAACTTACAATTGCAAGAGTAATTTCAAAAAGACCTTCAAAGCAAACAGTAAGAAAGCTTGCATTGCTGAATTTTGGGACGAACACGGTAAAATAGGAAGCAAAAGAAATATATCGGCTGTTATATATGTCAATCACGCAGGTAATAAATAATCTTACTAATATTATAAATGCGAATTTTTAGATGAATGGGTGTATGTTTGAGCGTCTATCTTCAAAACTGCTGAACGGATCTTGTAGAAATTTTTCATAGATGTAGAACATAGTCAGAAACAACACTTTAGTATGTAATAAAAAAAAATAGCAATGACTGATAAATAATTTTTTAACGAAATTATTTTGGTAAAGATTTGTAATTTGGATTAATAATAAAGTCTTCAACTAAAGTATGCTTTTTTTTAATATTGAGGGATGGTTAAATGCATATTTTATGTATTTTAATATTTTAGAAAAACCGCATCGGTTGACAAGAACCGTCGTCGATTTGAATTTAGGCTGTGAAGACGAAGAGGTAACTAGTTCATATTTTATTGCTTTATTAATATCATCATCAGCTCACTATACGTCCCCACTGAGAGGCTCGGACCCTACCCTAAGTTAGATGACTTGGCCATAGTCAACCACGCTGGCCAAGTGCGGGTTGACTTTACACATATCTTTGAATGTCTTCTCAGATATGTGCAGTATCACGATGTTTTCCTTCACCGTAAGAACGTCAGATAAATGTACATATGTAAATTTAAAATCAGTTGTATTCAATGATCTTCGGAACTTTGCCTAAAGGGACTCCTTTTAATAATATATTTTAGTTAATTATTCGTTTTTAATATTTTATTTAATATCATAGATTTAAGACGATTCTATATGAATGGTAAAAGAATTGTTCGCGGTAAGGAACTACTTGCAAATATGTAGATGAATCGATGGATGGATATTTGTTTGCAAGTGTCACCGGAACTGATCTCGATGAAATGTGGTATACATATAGAACATAGTGTGGAAGAATACATAGTCTACTAATGTTTTTTTAATCCCGCACGGACGAATTCGCGGTCGACGGATAGTATATAAAAGTTAAATTAAATATATTTTATAGAATGATTCATATCCCCTTTCAATCGAGGAATTATTAAGTACTATGAAGTCAAAAACCATTGGATACAGAAATGTGAACGTACTGCGTGATAAATACGACAAGGCTTGTAAAAAGGCTGTAGCCAAGAAGTGCAATAACGCATGCAATGTTGCTATAACGTAAGTTAATCATCTAAACCAGTGGTTCCCAAACTTATTTTGTCAAGTGCCCACTTTGAGAATAAATATTTTTTTAGCGCCCCCATATTTTCACATATTTATAAACCACTATAACTTCAAATTAAATTAATTAATTATTGTGACCTATATATGTATATTAACTGAGAATTGTATAGGAAACTTTTACTATAACCCGCAACTTGAGACCTGCAGCTCCCACAAGGGGGCGTTATCGCCAACTTTGGGAAAGACTGATCTATAGGCTATTTTAGTTTTACAGAGATGCCACATGAGCGGTACATGCGGTGTTACAACGTAAAAACATATAAATTTCTGAGACAAAAATCCTAATTTCAAATATACCTCTGTTTTGTCAAGCACAATGTTAAATACAGAGATTTTGGTCTCAGAAATCTATGGATAGTGCGACTATTTAGTACAGGCTCCCCTCTTTCAATGTCAAAAGATCTGTGTCAGATTGTATAGTTCGACAAGCTTATCTGAGCCGGTAAGGAGGCTGCTATTGTGATATTGTTATTAGTTCTATCATAGAATATGTTAAATTTACTTAGAAAATTTCATGACATATGACAAAGATCTTGTGACATTTTGACATTAATAAAAAAGTTTTTTTTTTTTTTTTAAATTAATATTAGCAGAGTTTTGTTAATATACTAATATTTCTTATAACATTCCAATTAAGCAAAGCTTGTGATATGGTTTACAACAATAGTCGAATGACTTCGAATTCATGACCATCTGATCGGCAATCCGTATCCTTAATCATTAGGCTATTGGCTCTTAGTTTGATGTCACCGGGTCCGATAACTTTATCGGTCTAAAGTTGTCTTGTCATGTCTTTTGCGTCATATTCTACATCAAAGGTTTCCCGTAGGTTTCTCCGGTTATGTGACATATCTCTTATCTACATAACTTACTAGTTTCTGTTAGTTATTTCTTTAACTATACGAATTCACTAAATTATTCAAACTTTCGTGAGACATAATTATAAACTTATAAGATCCTAAGAAAAAGCGTCTTAATAAAGAGATGGAGACAACATAGAATTCCTATAAGGGTTCCGGTTTTTTCCTTTCGCGATACGGGGAACCCTAAAAACGTCCACAAATACCCACGTCTATTGGCAGCAACGACTAGTTTCGAGCCCATCGTCGGCTTGTGAGTGAGAGACGGGTCTTGTCCGCGAAATAATACCAGTCCGACTCACCATGATGAACGGCCCCCGATGGGCTCGAAACTAGTCGGTGCCACTACCGGACGAACATACGACAGTGTTTTATACGTTTTTATATTAGTATTCTAATTTAATTATAATTTTCCCTTACATAATATCTTTTAGTGAAACATGCGCAGACCATAAATGTAAGAAAAAGCAGATAAAGTCTTTCAAGAAGGACTGTAAGAAGTCATGTGCTACTGTGTTTGATGTATCGAAATCCAGTGATGATTCCAGCGATTCCAGCGATTCCAGTGATGAAGAAGACGAGGAAAGTGATTCTGATTAGTTCATTAATAAATAAACTGATAGGAAAAGATTTGGTTTTCAATGTTTTTTATATGTGTAGTTTTAGAACAGGTTAGGACGAAGTATTTTTTACTAGTTCTACTTCCAGATATATAATAAACTAGCCGTTTCCCACGACACCGTCCGCGCGGAATTAAATAAAAAAACCTATCGGTCGCAGCGTAATGTTATATAGCCTAAAGCCTTCCTCTATAAATGGACTTTCCAACAAAAAAAAAAGAATTTTCCAAATCAGACCAGTAGTACCTGAGATTAGCGCAATTAAACAAACGAGATATAAATAGAGTGTGAGAGTGAGCTAGACTTACGCAGTAGATCAGCTCCGTACTCGCAGTTGGCGAGGTGGTCAAACATGGCGGTGAGGACGGGGAGGAGCACGCCGTTGATATACCCCAGAGATGTGGAAG